TTTTTTTTTTTTTTTTTTTTTTTTTTTTTTTTTTTTTTTTTTTTTTTCCTTTCGACCCCGATTTGCTGATTCTCTCCGTTCATCCCGCTTCACGACAACCTCAAGCCGGTCAACCTTCGTTGACTAGGAATTTTGTCTTCACGGGTCTCGGCAGGTGGGGAGGCGGAATCATTCTCCGACCACCCTTACTCCATACCCAGCGCAGCTGGCGGAGTCTTGGATTGTAGGGGGGGCTCCTGCACCCGTTCCCCCCCCTCTCCGGACGAGAACGGGCGGCGAACGTGTAAAAATAGGAAGGACGAGAGCAGCGGGAAGAGAAGAAGAAGAAGTATATCGGCGTCAGGAAGGATGTCGTCCGCGCTGGCGGCGTCGCCAAGCCCGAAGTAAGGCGGGACACCCTGACAAATGGTGTGCGGGTTCCCATGTGGCCCGTTCCTCAGGGGCGCCCCTCCACTTAACAAGATATTGCGCCTCCTCTCCAGTCCCTCTTTGGTCCATGATATAGTCAACGAGATACTGGTCCGTAGGGTTGCCGGCGTCGTCGCGTGTTGGAGGCCAGCCCACCGGAGCTTCGCGTGGAACCAAAGCGGGATCACGGGGGTGATGGGGAACCAATTGTGAAACATGGAAAACATTGTGTCCCTCGTATGTGGGAGGCAGAGCAAGACGGTAAGCGACCTTGCCGGTGCGTTCAGTCACTGTGAAGGGCCCCCGGTAGCGGGGTTCAAACTTAGAACAATGGTTGAGAGCAGGTAAATGTTTGCCACTAAGCCAAACTTGGTCGCCGACCTTATATTCCACAGCCCTCCTATGGGCGTCAGCGTAGTATTTCTGGCGCCACTTAGCCTGGAGAATGTGACCCTGTGCACGATCGCAGAGTCGGCGGAAGAGTTTCGTCATTGGAGGAGTGAGCGTGGGAGCCAGAGCACCAACAATGTCTAGGTCCGCTGCGGTTAAGGGGTTCTCCCCAATCATGATTTCGAAAGGGGAAAGCTCAGTAGAGGAATGACTGGTGGTGTTATACGCTAACTCCAAGGCCGGCAGCAGGCCTTCCCACTCCCTTTCGTCTGCCTGGATATACGTGCGGAGCATCTGCTCCAGGGTGCGGTTAACTCGCTCGGTCTGGCCATCCGTCTGCGGGTGATAAGAGGAAGACATCGCCCGGGTAATATTGAAACGTGAGCACAGTTGCGACCACACTTCCGATTGGAAACGAGGATCCCTGTCGGAAATAAGGACTTCAGGAAAGCCGTGGTAACGGATGAGGCGGTCAGCAAGAAGCTCTACAGTGTCGGCGGCTGAGTGGGACTTCTTGGCCGGAATAAAGTGTGCCATCTTGCTGAGAGAATCGACGACAACCAGAATGGCGTCGTGCCCAGAGGTGGTGAGGGGTAAGTCGGTGACGAAATCTAGGCTAACATGGCTCCACCGGCGCGAGGGAATAAGCAGCTGTTGTAAGAGGCCGGCGGGCTTTTGATTAAGTGATTTGGATGCGCGGCACTGCGTGCAGGATTCCACGTACGCGTTGGTGTACGTACGCATGCCAGGCCAATAGTAACGCTTACTGAGGGCCTTGTAGGTCTTCTTTTGGCCTCGATGCCCGGCGGTGACGTGATCATGATGCGTGTACAGGACGTGCGTGAGGAACTCTGGAAACTGCGGCACGCAGATAAGCCAGAGACCATTAATGCATATATGTAAATATGGCTGGACAAAACGGAAGGTGTGACGACGATGTCGGAACTCCAGTTGAACAACTTCACCCTGCTTGGAAGAAGCAGTGTCATAGGGCGCGCTGAACATCGGACACTTAGAATACGCTGTCGGCCAGTCGAGGACGGGAGGACTGGGCGTAGGTCTAGGGTCTGCCTGCGCAGGAGATTCGGGAGTGGGGTCGAGCGTAGTGGTCGGGGTTGGAACCGGGTGTGACGGGGTGCGTTTCCGGGAGGGGCGTCGGCGGAGGCCGGCAAGTTCCCGGTAGTCAGGATGTGTTCCTCGAGTCTTGTGCGGCGGTTCAGGCGGGTCAGGCGCTGGCTGGAGAGCAGCAAGAGACCCAGTATGGGTCTCAGGGGAGTCGATGGGGGAGGGAGAAGGGCAGGGGGCCGAATGACAAGGAAGACGAGACAGTGCGTCCGCCACTTGATTACGTGCACCCGGCAGGTATGTAATAGTAAGACCGGGAAACTCAGCCAGGAAATCTAGCCACCGGGCTGTGCGGCCGCGAAGAGGCTTTGACGCCTTGAGCTGCTGTAAATGTGTAAGGGCTTGGTGGTCGGTGTGGGCCGTGACCTTGGTAGGGCGTAACAAGTGTGCCCACTTGTCGAGAGCTGACACTAAGGCCAAAAGTTCCTGATCATAGATCGAGTATTTCTGCTGCGTGGGAGTCATGGCCTGGCTGAGGAATCGATATGGCTGACCGGCCTGTTCGAGAACCGCGCCAACTGCATAGCCAGAGGCATCCGTGTAGAGCTCAAAGGGTTTCGTGGTATCAGGAATCTGTAAGGTGGTGTAATCAATCAAACGCTGCTTGAGGAGGCGTACCGCCTGAGTGTGTGCATCTGTCCACTGGAAAGGTACTCCCTTGCGCGTGAGATCTACGAGCAGGCGGGCAACCCTGGCAAAATCCGGCCCCATGAACATGCGGCAATAATTCACGGTGCCTAGGAACTGTCGTATCTGCGTCTCGTTCTGCAACACCTCGGGCCACGCCTTGATGACTTGAATCTTGTCTGGGGCGGGTTTTATTCCCTCCGCGCTAACGGTATAGCCCAAGTAGGTAAGCTCCCGCTTCGCAAATTTGCATTTAGAGAACTTCGGGTAAAATTGCTGATCGAGGAAAATACGCAGTACTTGTTGGAGGAGGGCAACGTGACTGGGAAGGTCGGGGCTGTAAATGAGGACATCGTCAAGGTACGCAATGACTCCCTGACCTAGTAAAGGTTGTAGGTATGCATTGATGTTGGCCTGAAAGGTAGCAGGCGCGCCCTTGAGGCCAAAGGGCATGATCTTATACTCGAATAACCCCATAACCGAACGGAAAGCTGTCTTCCATCGGTCTTCCTTGGCCATCCTTATCTGGTGAAACCCTGACTCGAGATCGAGGGTGGAAAAGTATCGGGCCCCCCCTAGCATCTCAAAAATCGTTTGAATAGGTGGTAGGGGAAAGTCCGGCGCAATCGTAAGGGCGTTCAGCTCCCGGTAATTGACAACCATGCGCATCATACGCTCGCCCGTCCCATCGCTACGCTTATCCACCATAATCGTAGGTGCGCAGATCGGAGAGTAAGTGGGGCCAATCCACCCATTAGCAGTCAGCTTAGCTATCTCCTGTTTGTGAAAGAGAAGTTGTTCGGGGGTCATGCGGTAAATCGCCGATTTCGTAGGGAGTTTCCCTGGCACGAGAAGGATACGGTGATCGTGGGGGCGCTTCGGTGGCAGCCCTGTAGGAAGTTTATCCGGAAAAACCGCACGGTGAGCACGCAACACATCCCGTATCTCCCGGGGTGTTGCCTGCGCCTCCACGGAGGTTAGCCACGTATCGAATTGCGAGTACTCGAGTTTGGCCGTTGGCCAAGGGGATGTTTCCTCTTCGTCGGGAAACACGGGAGCGGTTAGTGCCTTAAGACACTGCCGGTGGGGATTGGAAGGGCAGGTTTCCACCAAGGCACAACATAAAGCCCCTTGCCGCTCCTCCACCAGACGCAGAGCCACGTCTGCCGCCACCGCGGGAAGCGCTAGTATATGGTAGAGCCCTTGGAGGGGGTGGCGTATGAAGGCCGCACTGTCCGAAGCCTGCTGGAGCAGGGCAGCGACCACTGCCTTCCGCTTGCCCCTGGAGGGCGGCTTGTATCTCTTAGTGGGAGGACGTAGAAGTGCCGTAGCTTCCTCCCGAGTCATGTCCGCCACCTGCTTAGCCAGTATGTCGTACGCCTGCTCCGCGGGTGTCCGCTGACGCGTCCCTAGTGTACCGTCGCTCCGTTGTGTGACATCAGTGGCACAAACAACCGGTAGATCGCACCACCGGCCATCCACATACGTGCGTAGCTTATCAGACTGGAAATACCACGCTACCCTATGCTTAGTCAGCCAATCAAGTCCCACCACTAGGTCATATGGCACCGGCCCGACTAAGAAGTCGCCGGCTAAACGAGTCGCCCCACACCACATAATGAGCCCCTTCATTACGCGATCTATTCTCAACTGCCCACCGTTAGCTACGGTGAACACGTGTTCCTCGGGCAGCTTCCGAGCTCTCAGCTGCAGGCGTTCTACCGTCCCTGGGTTGATGAAGCTCCTCGAGGCTCCGGTATCCAGTAGAGCTTCGCACTGGTTGCCAACCACTTCGACTCGTAGTACGGCGGTCATTCCCACACTGCACAGAGTCCCTTTGGGTGTGGCGTCTTCCTGCGCCCTCTGCTCGCGCCACCACTGTAGTTCTTTAGTGTTAGTGACCTGCGGTTGGTCCCCTTCAGTGGCGGCGGCGTTCAGCTTGCGGCCCTGGTCCCGTCGACGTCTAGGCCCTTCCTTGTTTTGCAACACAGCCG